CAAAAGATCTCAGAGAACAGAGGTCACTGGAGGCGTGCTACAGAAGCCCTATGTTCCACTAGGAACCCAAGGGACTAATAAATAATAAATAAATAAATGTAATAAAAACTAAAAACAACCGGCGAAGATAAGCGTAAATTTTCATTTTTCGACACGTTTATGTATAAATAATTCCCATTTTTACGCAACGTTTTCGTGGTATTAAAGACTTTTATTTATATTCCAGGTGCAACGAGCACTGGACGGAACGTCGAAAGGAACAGATGACCGCGACCGATGTACAATTTCATTTATTGTATTTTATTTATTTAATCGCCACGACACCCTAGAATAAGGTTCAGACAACCAGGGGCCACCTCACTCAGTGAGCCCATCGGAAGAGTTTTACCAGTGGAGAGACCACTGGGTTTTTACTTCCGGCTGGTATCGTCTTAGGGTCCTCACAAACCCACTAGGGGGGGAGTGATCTGTAGCGTCATACACTTCCCCAAAATCAATAGCCTAGGGTTTGACGACTTCAACATTGATGCTGACCTTGATAGTTTAACTGGACTCGCTAAGCTGAAGGCACCCGGTCAAGCATCCTCGCCATTTGGCACGCTGTCGTGTTACGTTGCATTGCTCGTATTCGACTCTCTAGCCAGTTAGTTGGAACGCATCGGTATTTTGGCATAATCATCCAAATATACTATTCCATCCGACTACGCTATCGTGTTCTTCCTTGGTCTCGTATTCGTGGGTATATAACAAGTTCGAATAATTAGTGATTGGTCTTTGCGTCTGTCAAGTTCGCACCAGGACAAATCCTAAATGACTACTTGGTTAGTACAAAAACAACTTCAATGTCATCTATAGAGTTCATACAAGCCTCATGAATGGCATACACCATAAACTTCTTCGAAATGTTAGAGCCACTGCAATAATATTTTGAAGCCTGAGATCTGCATTCAAAAGACGTTTGTCTGGTCCGTCGAGACGGTCAATATAACCTATAAGAACATTTTACTTTTTAAAGCTGTTCTTTCACCTACTAACTGTCACATAACATCTCATGCGTCATATCCTTCCACCTATAAAATTCTGACTTATCAAAACACTGACCAATCCCTCTAACCATATCAAGTTAAGTCAGCAAATGAATATTGCTGTCGTCTTGGTAAGTCTTCTTTTCATGATTAACCCAAAGATAGCGTAATTCTTTTTTCAACCTCTTAATTTAATCTGATTTGAATTTAATTTAAAAATACTCGATGAAACATCCTTTTACTATTACCATGCCAATATGATATTTACATGCGATTGTATCTCATGAAAAATGAAATCGCTGAAAAGAATGTCTCTTGGCTGAACGTCGTTTGTTTTTCGGCACTTTTTATAAATGTGTATTGAAATGTTTTAAAATATCTCAAGATATACATGTCAGTTTATATCACTGTTGAAAACTGAAAATTGATCATAAAAGCTCACAATAGATTGAAAAGTTTACATGTTTTGCTATTCGGTTTCATTATACGATAAGCAATTTTTCTAAAATGTTTGAAGAACACAAGGAAGAAACAGCATTTCGCTAGTACTGTCACATGAATAACTAAGATACATTTTGATTAATCTTGTTTTCTAAACTCATCTGGAAATCATATTGATATAGTTTTCTCCATCTTTAATACTATATTCAATAAACGCATTAGTCATCTGTGGAATATAATCAAGTAGAACGTATAAAATTGTCGTTGTACAACTTTGTAAAAGAAAAACTCGTAAAAGACATCCTTATTTACATATAATAACTATGAAACCTACATTATCATTTACACAGTGGAATCTAGGACAAGCGTTTGATACTGAGAGTCAAAGAACAATGATACGATGAGGAATGCATAGGTACAAATGTGGACACAAATTTGAATGGGAAAATGGAAAAATCCTCGACAGAAGAAATACAAGCACTGCTACAGAACTATTAGAATTATGATATTCTAGTCAGTCAGCGGTCTACAGACATTGTATCTATCATCTAGACTATATGAGATAGCCGTTGTCTGGCCGACTAGTACGGATACTGGTTGATGACTGAAGGTTAAATTTGGACTGCGTTGGAGTTCGAAAAAGTGACCACCAGGTTTCCGACTACTGACTAGATTTTTATCTATCTATCATCACACAGTATCAAGGTATATTAATATTGACCCAATCCATCAACCAATAAGGAACAGCAAAGCGGTCAAGTTTCACGTCAGCAGAACAACCAATCAAAACATATATGAAGGCAATGACGAAACTCTGGCGGAAATAGCCAATCACACACAAGGCCATCAGGATAAGCTACTAAGCCACATACGGAGAAAACTCTATAACTCACTTCTTTCCTAAGTTTGTGCTGATGTTGTTGTCTAGAATGACAATGAAAGCATCACGATTAAACCATGCAACTGAGAGAATGCAACACCACCAAAAACAGTGAGTTGTATTTCCTTAAACTATTGTTTCATCGTTGAAGAGAAGTTGAAACGTATTCTCAGTTTTATACAACTTAAATGTTTGCCCTTTCCACTGCTTCATTCGTAAAAAGCGGAAAACATGTGATCAAAGTTTATATAATTTCGTTTATATAATATCTAAGATGAAAACCTGAGTGTATTTTCAAGGTAAATAAGCGGTTTCAATTGGACAAGGTTTTTAGGCACCGCAGATGGGTTTAAATATGCTTTACTTGAAAACTTGAAACGACAACCTACATTCTAAAACAACATCAAGTGTGTTGCTCTCATCATTCCTATCTACTTTTTAATTCTTGGAACTGTTACCAATCAATTAAATCCAAACATATTTACTAAAGTCTGATTTGTTCTTCCCATTTTTTAGTTGGTAATAGTTAACTGAACCAGAAAACCTAATAGGTAGTACACGTTCACCTGAAACTTAAATGTGAATGGATTTAATGAACTGGAGTGTAGATTTCATCCACAAAGTAAGATTCACATTTCTAAAGACCGACGGAAAACTTTTGTGGTATGACAGCTACTATTTCTGAGTTGTATAAATGTGATTGCATGATTTTTTTGCGTTTCACTAAGTGCCCTTATTTAAAATGCTTCCTGGTTTTGCAAAAAACGTGGCCAGAGTAGTTGATCATAAACGGACTTATCGTAATTTAAAAAGAAAATAAAAAGACGAAAAAACCAGCGTTTGTATTCGGTAACATTATATTATTATTTGTCCCTTCGGTTCCCAGTGGAACATAAGGCTTCACTAGTACGTCAACATTCCACTCTCTTCGTCACGGTCTTTCCAACCTGGCACCACCACTCCCCACAAGCTTTCATTTCTTCCTCACATGGTCTCCTCCATGTCACCCTCGCCTCAGATGTCCAGCTCCTCGTTTCCCATGCGAGTTCCAATCGACGGTGTGACCTGGCGCGTGATGTCCCCAATAAGCCTTCACAATATAATATGCCCAATCCATCTCCACCTTCCTCAGCATATCAGTTGGACGATGGAGTGTTGGTTGGTGCGTTGCCAGACACAGTGAGTTTCTTGTTGCTTATTCTCATTATTCTGGCCATCCGATCTTCAGTGTCAGTATCTAGCCAGCGCAGGCGACAGCTGTTGATGAATGTCTGTAGTTTATTGGAATTGGTTTTCGTAACGCGCCGTCAAGTCTCTGAACTATCACATAGAAGCACTGACTTGACTGACGTTGGTGTTGAAGATCCGGATCTTGTTCACGCTTTATGTTGAGTGTAGTGCAGTGCAATGAATCTCAACAGTGGTTTCTGGTTAATGAAGGCTTGTCTTGCTATCTTTCCAATCCTGGCTGCTTTCACGTCCTTATCTGTGCCACCTGTTGTTGAAACAATGCTGCTCTGCCTAGGTAGGTGAAAGATACTATTTACAATAGGTCTCTCCTGTTGATGGAGATTCTTGCTTGTTGTTGATGGTTGGGTATCTTCGTCACCTCTTCCTCTGTCTTCTCTACGTTCACCTGACGTAAGTTCCTTCCTCGCTGCCCTTTTTGTCAACTTGTTAGTTTTTGCCTGTAGATCTTGGAGATTGTGCGACATTATACATGCATAAATCGTCAGCGAAATCCAAATCTTCAAGGTTCTTTTCATCGGTCCAGTGTTCGCCCTTCTTCTCGCTTCTCACAGTTTTTTGCATGATTCAATCGACTTCAGTTAGGAAGATGATCGTTGATAGTGGGCAGCCTCGTCTTACTCCTGTCCTCAATACAAATGCTCTCCATTGTGAATCACTCGGCATATGGCGTCTTCATAAAGTTGTTGAATGAGGTTGATAAAGTTTATGGCATTGAGACCATAGTGTTGAAGCAGCTGCCAAAATAATTCTTGATCGACGCTGTCGAAGGTTTTTTCAAAATCTTTGAAGTAACATTATTTGCTATCATTATCACTAGGTATTATAATCGCCTTTAGTGATAAGCTTACTAATACCTCATATGTGGTCTATCGATTTATTTTAACAAAGATGTGATTTTCTGTTGAAATCACAAACTATTCTGTCTTATACAGAGTGGTTTATAAACATCACCAAGATGCTAGACTTTCTAGGGTTGAATAGTGCTTTCTCCATAAAAAGAAGTAGACCATAACTCCTTTTATTACGTTACACTAGTGGGAGTAGTTTAGATATGGGATTTGGGCAATCCATACTTTACCGCCATCTTATCTACTTGTTATGCTTCTGTATATAGGATTAATCGGATTAAAAGTTCAGCATTACCAAACAAGATGCATAGCTGATTCATAAAGTCACTGACTGAAGGATATCTGAATAGGACCATAGGTTACGACCACTGTCGATGGTTGAAGGCTACGGGTGGTGTGTCTTGGAATTCACTGCAGTAAAAAAGATGCTTTCACTACATTTCTATGCTTGATATATTCATATAGAATATCATCACCTACTTTACTTGCCTATTCTTTTCATCTTAGGGCGTTTCTCTTATCCATACGAACAAGTATTTAATCAAAGACTGTTTATGATGTGAAGAAATATCTTCTCTCACTAAAGATATTTCATTATAATAGACATTTTATACATGAATGATACATGAATAAGTAACAGAAGCAGCAATCAAATTTAAAAGTACTCATTTCTTTTAGCACAATAAATTATTAATGTGGAATAAATTAAAACAACTCTGTTTACATCCACAGAATTAATGTGAAAATGTTTAGAATTGTTAAGAATTTTTATTAACTTCCTTTGATTACTTTTCTATTCTCTTTGACTTCATTGGATTTACGCTTGATTACTTTGTCATCAGTCTAGAGGTTGCATCTTTCTTTTGAAATAAGCCAAACTGGCTCGTTTCTCAGATGCAGACGAATCATCATAAGAACTGTGGTGATGGGATAATGAATTTCCTTCTAACCATTCCAAGTAGTCTTTACGTAAACATGGGCAAATTTCTGCAATTCTTCTCAAATGATGAGGACTTGTTTGCCAATATTCATTTTGACCACGCTTAAAATAGGATAATGATGCGCGTTTAGATGACGAAGAGGGTTCTGAAGATGAATCTGTTAGTTCACCATCCCGTTTAAAATAGGATAGAGTTGCACGTTTATCGAATAGATCCGCCTGATTTTTATCAAATGAAACATAGAATAAACAATACATATGAAATAATATTATTCGAAGAAAATCAGTCAGCATAAAAGTTCATAAAATTGCCTTGAAAATAAAAGATAAGCGGTGATTTATATGATTATGTAGACTTGTAGGTACATGCATTTAAAACAAGAAATTGAGATAATTCTTTACATTGTTTTCAATGGTAAAAGCAGGCTTAAGCCGCATCTAACTATATATCATGCTTTCATTCACAATTAATGACATTGTGAACCGACAATAGTCGTCCGCAAAGGTGATTACAGTCATGTAACAGTAATACTTAGACACTGTCACATATTTCAATTCAGTTCTAAATTAACTTATTCAGTGTAGTATACAAGAATACAGTATTGCTTGCTGGATGATATTTCGAGCGAAACGTATTGTTTCCAGTCATGCCATAGTAAATACACAACTTTGGAATTCTTCTTTAGTGTTCTCAGAGCTTTTCATTAATTTATTTGTAGTGGTATTCGGTTTTCGCAAACAAGTGAACTGAGTAATGAATCACTTATGTTGCATGCATTCAACTTAATTTCAGTGTGTAACGAATCAACCCGAAAGCTATCCCTTCTGAGTTTGGTTCATGTCAGTAATCGTCAGAAGGTATTTCAGACCATCTGGTGGATAGTTTCCTTATATACATCAGTACGACAAAATGTGAGGTGTGACTTTGGTATACAGGTGTTACAGTCTCTTACTTAAGGTTTAACTGAGGAAAAATGGAATCTCCGAATGAACCATGAGTTCCTTAAAGTTGGCAGGTACGCATAACAGATGTATGTCCACAGGCGCAAAAACAAAGTTCAGGGGTTCCTATTCATTAACCTTCAACACCTTACCTCAGCTTTTATAGCAGTTTAGTGGCAAACAGTTCCCTTAAATCAATAGCTTAAGGTTCAGAGATATTTGACATCGACGCTCACCATCATAGTTTTAACAATCTTGTTCAGCTGCAGTTATACAGTCAAGCTTGCACACCATTTTAGCGGATTGTTATACCACGTTGAGTGTCCGGTTCCAAAATCCCTCACGCATCTCAATTTATTGATGTGGCACAGTAAATATACAACTCAGAGTTACTTACCGAATTGCGTTCTGTCTCGGTATAGCAATCGTGGTGGATCGAATATACAGAAAGAATTAGCGGCTGGTATCTACATCTGCCTACATAACCCATTTTAATTTCTAAATACATTATTGTCCGTGAAATTTACTCACTATTCTTTCACCTTTATACAAATAGCGCGAACAAGATTTCCAAGAAGAGGTAGTCGCAGATCTACATTCTCGATTTCTTGTTATCATACGTTCATTACCGTGGTAATTAAACATACACTTTAGAGAGCATATGTTTTGCCCTGAAGTAAGAGATTCTTATTCACTTCTCAGAGCTACACTTCTGAAGTAAAGTAATCTCATAGACCACCAGCGCTTAGACAAATCGCTTCATAACATCTAACTAGGGAAAAACCCAGTTACTGATGTCCTCGCACACGTGCGAAACGTTATCGGCTTACAAACGTTTGATGATGCCCTTTTCCGAGAACGTTTTCGCTCGAAACCATTACAACCGGTGCAAATCGTGTTAATGACATTTCAGTCAGTTTCACTCGATGACTTGGCAGCTTCAGGAGATAAAATTTTGGAGACCTTCAGCTGACTAATCTCTACCCTATATCTGATCTACGAAAAACCTGAGATACGATACCAAGGAAGAACATAATAGCTTAATCAGATGGAGTAGTATATCCGCAAGGTCATGCCCAAATACCAATGCGTTTCGACTAACTGGATAGAGGGTTGATTATGAGCAGAGCAACGTAGCACGACAGCATGCTAAATGCCCTGGATGCTTGATCGTGTGCCTTCAGCTTAGCAAGTCCGATAAAGCTACAAAAGTCAGCATCAATATTGAATCTCCTTGAACCATAAGCTATTGATCTTAGAGAATTGTGAGCCGCTATAGGTAGCGCAATCTGAAGTGTAACATATTTTTCTTCTTCATTTCTCAAGCATTTCAGGAACACATACTGAAAACGTTTAAAAGTTTGGTCCTACGAACGTTTAATTTCATGAATAATATCATCTCAGTTTTAATCCTCAGTACTTTCAGTTTCATCGAAGGCAGCTAAAATACCAAGTAGTCCTAGGGATTTCAACTTCAAACTGCTTAAGTTAAGTGTTAGTACCAACATACGCAATTGTTTGGTACCTATGCGAAAAAGGACATTTGCTAGTTCATTCTCGTCAAAAATGACTAAGGAGAGTTTTGAAACATATACGCTTTTAGGGGTTTTTGAGATTATATGTAATTGCTAATATACTCAATAGTTTTCTTAAAGAAGTCAGTTTTCTGAAGATGTTTATATCGACAATTGGGTAAAAGCGAAACAAATGGTGCAACTACTGAAGTCATTTAAAATTGAAGTTGTAATTATAGTCAAGTGGTATTTGTTTAGAATGTGAATAAGTTCATAAATTGATGTGACATCTAATCTACTGATATCAACTTTCCTGTAATGGAAACAGTAGATTTCATGTGTCATGAACTGCCACGATGTAACAATGAGACAAGAATTTGAACTTCCATGGAGGATATTTTTAGGATGCATACGATGACAGCACATTGTATTTTTTGACAGCCAGTCTAACCGAAGGGTGCAGAGTGATATGCTTATATTTTTTACAAACTAGGCGGATGAGGATACTGTTTATGATGAATTCAGCAGTGTTCATCCAACAATCACCTTTGACAATGAAAGAAAAAGAAACGGCAATCTCATTTCTTGACATTGTACTTTTGAGGACAAATAAGACGATAAAACCGAGTTAACATTATGAAGAATCAGAAATAAATAGTCAATATAATCATCTTAATAACTCCGTAAAATTTATATATAAACGAAATCTCATGAAATGATCAACTCATTTAAGTAGACCGTTGACTATGATGATGCCACTGAGAAACGGCTTGATAATACCTACAACCTATTTAAACAGTTTTATTATCAACCATATGAAAGAGATGTATGACAAAGGAGGAGTGATTACAAGTTCCCGTGAGACACAAATCATGCCTTAATACCATAGTAGTTTCATCCAGAGATTTTTCAACATGGACGATTCGTAATAAGTCAGCACCTAGTTAACTGCATACATTCACTTGAAGTTGAGGGACGGTAACTGAAGAATGAACTGTTTTCGAAAGACTGTGTAGTAAGTCTTAGTAATAATTTGGTAATCAGATATTTCTCAAAAATGTAAACTTACATCTTCACATATTGTTGTTGTCAAAAGACCAACTATGCAAACGGATATGCATAATGCTGAGACTTTCTGCATTTTCTTCTGAAATAAAAAATGAAAACAAGTAACATTTCAGACTGTTTATAAAGCTGGGTAGTTGCCTATAGCACTCATCAACAAGTTAATCCAGTCGGAATAGAGAGTGGGACTAATAATGGATGATCGTTCCCGATTGGATCTGGAATTTGCGTATTCCAATAAATTATTACTGTGACTGAAGATCTTGCATTACAAGCATTTAAGCGGTTCACATGAATAGATCAGTTTGCTAGAAAATACGATAAGGGAAGGAAGAATGACTTTTTATCATAGATAAGTTGTTTTTGTTACAATCAGTTGAGATCGAAGTTTAATCAGTGAAGCACAGCTTGAAATTCATTAGGTGTACCTTTTCGCACAGATTGTTGAAACGGATAGTGTTTTAAAAGTCGAGTCTTTCATATTTCAAATTTTTTTTCTAACTTAACTATCTGCACCCTAGTCAACGAGGTTTTTACCTCATGAATTTGAGAGTTGAACAGTTTTTAGTTTGGGATGCAGACTGTTCAGTCAATGGTTCAATGGGATGTTTATTTCTTTTTGTCAAACTCAAAACGAATCTATTGTTATGGCCTGTATTTGCCTGACATGTATCGGTGTTTGCTCATCTTTGGATATGAATTATGTTTATTCGGTTTTGCTGACTTTATTTGAGTACTTAAAACAGTTGAGATCTAATTCTCACTGCCCTATCTTATGAGTACATTCTACTGCTTCTGTATTATTCAAAGGTATTAAGTCATTCGTTTTTGTGTTGTGAATGGGTAGAAGAAAGTATACCACGAGGAAACTGTCAAGCTTGTTATTACTGTTCCGATATCGATTGATATTTCAAGTCTGCATTCCTCACGGAGTGGCATCATTTTAAAGGCCGTCTATAATTTGAGGGAAGTGGATGCTTATTTTTTCCTTATTCAGAGCATCCCAACAGCAAGCACACGTTACATCATCATGCATCGAGACCAGTTCCATTAGGTTTTGCGACTGTCAGGTTACTATTCAGGCAACGGATCGTGATCCGATAGTCTGTATTTTCTCGTTGCTGAGGAGCTTCTTACTAGGATGTAACAGCTGTCTGTTGTTCCAAGGTTGTCATTACTTCTCCAAATGATGTCACTATGTGATTAGTATTGACATGAAACGAAAAAATCCCCATAAGCTTTCAAACGGAACATGTTTTTGTTGCATGTTTTTCCACTCCCTAGTCTTCAAATATAACCATATTATTAAAGCAGAAAGAGCATGGTGATGTGAAACCATCAGAGTTCCTAATGAAGTGTAAACAGTTCGAAAAACTCGTTACTGGTAATAAATTTATAATTTAAGTTGTTTCATTTTGTATTTTTGCATTATTTTATTGCAGACTACTTATTATACTTGTGAAGTAATGATTAATGGGGCGGCAGCGAAAACGTTTTTTTTTCCAGGCACTAAACTCAAGAATCACTGGGTTATTTTCCTATCATTCGTGGTTGTCATTATGTCACATAAAAACTGGGGTGTCTAACTATGGTTAATCCATATACCTCTACTAACAACTGTTCATGTGGCACAACTTTGGGTGTAACAATATGAATAAGGGTGATAAGAAAAATTAAGAGAAAATTCACCATATTACAACTTATTGACTGTGAAAAAAAATTTGTCTACTGACATATATAAATGCATCTCAGTGACATACTGAGTTTAAGAAATAAGAGTAATGATAGACACTGATATCAACCTTTACGTGATTTGAAATGTATTCATGATATAAGAAAAGCTGATACTTTAGAAAAAGTACGACAAGAAAAAGAAAAATTAAGATCAACAAAACATTAGCTAACCAAAAATACGCTAATTTAGGAAATGAGGATATAAATTCGAAGCTTTATCAAATATAAGTCGTTTACATGACCACACGCCATCTTACGTGCCGAGTAATCCCTCTAACATTCAAAACAATGAAAAAGTATGCCTTTTGGTATTCATTTTTATTTAAATAACAAAAGGAGGGAAGAGAAATTCGTAAGGATTTGGCCAGACAAAATTCTCTTCATATTGAGAATGATCAAGTATTTTAATTCAAGAGTTTAGACTATCTTGATTTGATCTTTGCATTACGATCTTCTGGCAGACCCTTAAAGCTTTCCATGACGATTGTTTTTGAAATATTTTACCATGTTTCCTTTTAACTTCAGATGTATGTAGTAAACAAACAATCTTAATGTATAATAAAGATGAAGTTAAGGTCTTTCAAAAGATGAAGATTAATTTGTAGATTGAATCTTCCAATTTCTCTTATCACAGCAGAATTAGCTGGCCAAAAGTCTTTCCAAATGTTACTACCCTATTGATCAAACAGTCTTTAAAAAGACTATATGCTTTACGGGTTCACTGTCGATAAGACTATTTACTTCTGAGATTACCTAAAATAATTTCATGCAGTCACTTCACCATGTGACTGATGAATTAAACGCTTTACTAAAACCATTGGTATCAGTTCCTTCTTATGAAGTGCAAAAAGCGAATACTAGCCTCCCGTGACAACCTCCCACCCATAAGTCCACCGGTTTTATCAATAATGACCAAAAAAATCCAAGCTAAAGTTTGAACACGAATGCCTATGAGAACACTGTGTTCGTGCTTTACTTACATAGACGACTTCAACTAAACTATGCATTAAGTTCTCCATCAGGTTCAGCTATTGTATGGTTATGAATAAGGCTGTGCAAGAATATATTTTCATCCATTGTTTAGTCATGGGAGAGCAACCAATTTTTTGTATGGTCCTGAGTGCTGATCGAATCCTATTGATCATATTTGCAATGTGCCCACCAAGCTAGGGGGCTCAGTATCGCTGTGCACATTTGTAGGTGTTAGTTGGTCAGAGTCAGTCGCAGCAAGCCCTGGAACTAGGTTTCGTGATTAGTGGTACTCGTCAAGAAAGCATATCTGCAAGGATGTAACCCAGTCCTACAGGTGGTCAGTCGCGTTCCGAACAGCTCAATGGTAAAGTCGCTCATTTCAACACTGAGTGACACGCATCCTAATCTCAGGCGGGATATCAGATCCATCGAGGTTACAGATACACCTTGCTGACAAGTACCAACAATTGAGAAACCCAGATCCAGGGATTTATTGCCGATTGTTTCCAACCAACTAACATATATTTTCATCTCAACAAGTCACATTATAAGGCACTAATTATGAAAGTATTCATTCTCTTTTCATCCCGTTTTTTTGTAAATGTTTATTTCATCGAAAACTTTGCAATAATTTAGGCGACTTTTTTACAACTACATGCCACTAAAGTAAGAAACATAATCTAAACAAAGTTTCATTTTTTAGAATGTAAAGCTTCACAGTGTATAACTTTCGTAGAAGCATTACTTCCGCACCTAATCACATGTTATTTTGTTTAAGTGATTAAAAGAGATTATTTTAAAGTATTTAAAATTTCTTCTTATGTTTTACATTTTATGTCAACCTATATAACCCTTCTGACCTGTTGTACTATCAATATCTTTTGATTCACAAAATGCAAAACCCTTCAAAATTCTCTATTAAGAAAATAACAATAAAAGAAATGAAATGGAAATCTGATAAATATGATTTTCCATATGTTATGCATTGCATATTATTAGTGAAATTCAACATGAAATTGGTTGCACTTCCGTGACCAAACAATACATGTAAGCCAGTCCTACAGGAGGTCAATTGCAGCCCAAATAGCTCAGTGGTAAAGTTGCTGACTACAACACTGGGTGACGCAGTTTCGAATCTCGAACGGGACATCAGTTCTGTCGAGGTTGCAGATACGCTTTGCTGATGAGCGGCAAAAAGCACAAAACCTAGGTCCAAGGCTTTCTGCTGATTGCCTCCAACCAACTAACAGATTCAAAGGTTTAAAATCGCTTCTCAATACTTCATGTGGTAACTGCTGATATTGTTGTGTTAAATTAATCTGAATGACTAGACGACAAATTAATCAGCAATATAAATTTAGCTTTCAGCTACCTGCCTACTAAATGTTGTTTTTTATGTTTCATACAGTAAAAAATGTTGGTCAACAGTAATTTTTGAAAAATGTATGATTACACGTTACCATAGTGTAGTGGGCGCTGCTGATCAGAATGAATTTAAGTAGTATATGTTGAGAAGGTGACAGAAACCATAGAAGACTACCAGCAATGGCCAAAGATTCTGCTTAGAGAAACGCAAGAGACAATGTGGGCATATTAAGAGCAAATGAAGATAGAAACAGAAAAGGAAATGAAGCGTATTATGCAAATGACTGTCTTACTGGAAATTGTACAATATTTGATGACTACTGTACAAGATGGTAATAATAATAATGATAATAATTCTTTCCTGCGTTTCAGTCTTCTCGTTTCCTACAATACTAATGCAATATTTAAAAAAATCCTTTCTCTATCTTCAGCATTCTACATTCACATTCTTTTAAACACCTTACGCTACATTCAATTTTTGCAATGAACACATTCACCTGTGATAAATAATTCAAAGTCAGTTGTAACTAACCTGAAACATATATACATTTTGTACAGGAATTAGTTGCTGTTTTCAAATGAAGGCATGCATTCAAGTTGAATAAAGTTTACTTCCTTATAAAACGAAATTTTCGCCATGCTGTGTTATTATTTCCAGTTCGAATACGAGTTATTACTTGTTTCAGCTTATCATTAGAATTGAGTTATGAACAAATTTACCATCAAATTTTAATTTTTTTTTTCTCCTCATTGATATTTATTTCATATTTTACAATGAAATATCTTAAAAACGTTTATGCATCACTTTGAAATACCTTTTCGCAGGTCTTTCTTCATATCTACATACGTATGTTAAATTTATTGTAACTAGTGCTTCAAAATGCCAATTTATGGTTCATCTTATTGTGTGATCAATAAGCTGAACAGAATTGTTCTTACTTTAGAGTTCACCATTGAATTTATTGGTAGAAGTTAATAGTTTGATAAAAATATGAGCTACTATCCGAATTC